AATTTATAATTTAAAAATTATACAATAAAATTACTTTAATCAATAATAATAATTAAAGTATAAAATTTAAATAAAAAAAAATAAATTAAAATAAAACTAAAATAAAATATTTTTTAAATATTGAAGACTTTGGTTAAATATTAAAATTATAGTTTATAATTGATCATATTGAAAAAATTAACTTTTCATAAAAATAAAAATCAAACAGCAACAGTAGGAGAGTATGAAAACAGCCCTCGCCTAAAGGATGACGAACAGAATAGAAGACGAAGAGCGATCGCCCCTGATCCTCCAATTCCTGCGCCGACTCTGTTTCTGTTTTTTTTTTCTTTTCGTAAAAGTCGCCCGTCCTCCGTGATATGTGTTTGCTTCACGTATGTAAAAAGTGATGTGTTCCAGCGCGTGGCTAAGAAAATTTAATAATTTAATAAAATAATAAAACTATCTTAAATGACCCGAAAACTATACTAAAATAGCCAAAATTAATATATAAAATTTTAAAAATTTAATTCTTGAATTATTCTTCAAGAATGCCTATATTCTTCTTATTCAAAATAATATTTATTAATATTTTTTAAATTAAATTTAAAAAATATACAAATAAGATAAAATTAAATAGCAACTGTGTAAAAATATTAAAAATATTATTTATATTTTAAAACTATAGATTTGGATATTTAAAATTCAAAAGATAAAGATTGGCTAATAAATTAAATAATATTTAATTAAACTTAATTAACTTTAAATAAATATTTAAAAGTCTAAATTAAAAGGATAAAAATATATAAAATTATCATTTATCAAATGGAGTACTTAATTTATTTTAAAGTGTGTTATTCCTAAGAACGTTTGCACTCTTCCTTTGCTTAATATGTGGAAAAATTTTGGAATTAGGTTAAAAAATATACTTGTTACTAAGCTCTTCCCCTCATAATTAATGGAAGAAGAAAATTTGCCCCAAGAAATATTTCTAAATCTATCGTTGGTTGTCATATGCAAATTAAAATCTGAGCACCATTATCTATTTCGTAATATGTTATCCTTATGTATATTAAGAAATATAAATGTTTTTTTTTTAATTTTTCACCCCTGCAAATTAAAATACAATTAACTTATTCTCTTTTAGACTTTTGTTGACCATGCATCATCCCGCGAAAAATAAATTATGTAATGTAATAAACTATAATACTATATACAATAGTTTATGTCATAATAGTACTTATAAATTACATTTATAGCTAAAATTAAAAATAAATAAAAATTATGTACTCCTTTCATTAAAAAATATAAGGCATTTTTAATTGAATCTCACTCTCAATAAAGTAATTACCTACTTTCCAACTAACTCTATCTTTCTATATTTACCCTTATTAAATATAAAGTCATTATCAATGGGTACTTTTAAAAAAAAGACAATGATTGCACTTCGAAAGGCTAAAAATACCTTAAATTTTTTAACATTTCACTCCTCAAAAAATATCTTATATTTTTTAACGGAGGAAGTATATAGTAAAAAATGATTTTGAATTCAGTAAATATCATAGTTTTTGGTTAATCAGTAATATCATAGTTAATATTATATTACTACTCCGATACTATATATAAACCACTTCTAAATATCTTACTATAATTAAATAAATGTAGTTAAATCATTACTATTGTTTGAGAAAGGAAATAAAATTTTCAATTTACTCTCACTAAATGAATCTTATTTAAAAGATAATTTCTCCTTCATACATAGACTTCTTCCTTTATTCATAAAAAATATCAAAGGATAAAATTGAAAAAAAAAATAATTTAGATTAGTTTAAGAAGTGCATATGGGAAGAAATATCAAAGTGTATGTTAAAAAAATTATCAAAGTTTGGCTTTAAAAATTATTATTTTAAATTGAAATTCTATTTTATAAATTAAAATTTAAAGTTTATATGTTATCTACCATAAATTAAAATTTTAATAACACCTACTAATAAAGATTGGTCTAATTAATAAGGATTTTTCTCATAACATACAAGATTATGAGATCAAAACTCAATGCCAGTGTAAGGACTTTATTAGTGAGTAATTTTATACGTATTTTTGTATGCATTTTTTTTTCTTGCAGGCATACCTTAATATTGGTGAGTTATTAAAACCCAAGCCATCTAAACTTTTTTTTTTTTTTTGACAAAACAACAAACTTTAAATAACATCTTATCTTATTTCAATTTTTTTATCATTATGATTTTGTATTCATGTGCTTATTGAAAATATAAAGGAAAAATTACATCCAAAGACCACTTAAATAAATTATTCACAAATAATGACTAATTACTAGTTTCATTAAAACAAAAAAAAAGATAAATCAACATTTTCATTTTAAAAACAATCTATTTTATATTGATTATTATTTATAAATAATTGGCTTGATTGATATGTGATTTTCCTACACATAAAAAACATATCCATGAATATAAAAAAAGATTATATATGTATATGTATATGTGTGTGTGTGTGTGTGTGTGTGTATGAATTGTTGCTCAAAGTAATTCACCATGTTTTGGATCCCTTACAATCCTCATATATGATTATCCCACCTTAAATCTAAACTGTTATTGGCCCCACATGATCCTTCAATATGTGTAAATTTTTTTGGGAGAATTATATTAAAATCTCATATAAAAAATTAATTACTTCAAAATTCATTGATAATTGAATTGAACTGTATAAATAACAGTTGTTAATAAACTTTACAGTAATTAATTTTTCTATGTGAGATTTAATTGTAATTCTCCTTTTTAAAAAAATAAGTCATTGATCTTCCCACCTTAAATCTAAGGAAGAAATGGACATTACAAATATATAAATTTATTTTATTCTAAAATGTATTATCTTATATAGATATAGATAAATACATAATAAGTAGGTAGATAATATACAAATGTCATGTCCATTGTGTGGTATTTATGTAATGACAAAAAAAACTCTGAAATTTGGGAATATAATTAGTTGAAATGTTCATCCGAAGAAAAGAATATAATTATTTGAATTTTTTAGTTAATAAAATTATAAAATTAATGATATCAGATGTGTATCTTCTTCGAAATTGTTATTTGATTTTCTGACATATGTAAGTAAAATTCTGGAAGCCTTTCTTTCCCATCGATTTCAGACTTTCAATAGACCAACAAAATTTCCTGATGAGCTTCTCTTCTAGTGTATATGCAATGAGGTGGGGTTTGAGAGGCGTCGATTTTTTAAATAATTTTATTCAGCAAGCTCAATACACCATGTTTCAAATGGGCCAAAAAAAATCAACCCAATTCAACTTTTGTATCCCAAGCCCAACAAATTATCCCTCAACCTTGTGGACCCCACTACTCGAGCCCTATCCTGCCAGACCAACCCAAAAAAAAGAAATATGATCATTACAGATCCAATTGTAGATTTACAAAAATTAGATATGCGTTACAATATAATTAGATTAATTATTTGCCTACTTTCTGAACTACATGGTGCATTCGCTGTTAAAAAAAAAAAAAGTGTGGTGGCTCTCAAATTTTAATTTCATGGCGTTAATTTATAAAATTTTACAAGTCTTAATATTATTTAAAATCTCACGCCACAAAAAAAGATAACAAGTGGTGGCATTTCTTGAGTATTTTTTAAAATTTTTTAAACAACCCATGTCATGTTTTATCTGAGGGTAAATTCATTTTTATTGACACTATTTTTAATTTGTCTAACTAAAAATATTCAAGTTGAATTTGAGGGATTTAATATTTTCACATAATTTTCTTAAACGATTTGGTAAAAATACTCAAGGCTTTTGTATATTTTTATTTTACCCTTGTTGGTTTCTTAATTTATTTTATAATTTTTAATCAATATTATTAGGTGAAATTTAAGGTAAAAATGCTATTTTATTCTTTATAAACAACAAGCTATGATATTTCATGAAAGAGACACAACCTCTTATTCATTTAGTAAAATTATAAATAAAAATAATTGATAAGGGGTAATATTTCATAAAGGAAATGCCATCTAATATTTTTCAGCTTTATTTTTGTAGTATTTTTTTAATTATTATATAATATATGCTACTAAATATTATTTTTATAGTAGTGATTGAGTAGTTTAGATTTTTATTTGAATTTTTTAATATTTAATTTTGAACTTTCTAAATGGGTTGGTGAATAAAAAGTTTAGAAAGTTATCATATACATTTTAAAGGGAAAACATAATTTTGACTCCATATTCTTTATTTAAATTTTGCTATAAGTTTCTGTGTTTTTTTTTATGGTCTAGATATCTATATTTTTATTTTTCAAGTATCTACACTTTTATTTTTTAGTGTTTTATGTTATCATGATTGGTGTTATAGTAACCTAAAACTTTAAAAAATAAAAATATAGGGACCTAAAATATTAAAAAATGTAATTATTTGTAACAAAACTCTAACAAAATATAAGATCTTTTTTTTATTATTACAAAGAGTAAAACAACTCGAAAACATATTACAATCGATAATAGCTATTTAAAAGGACACTTTCATCATAAATTACCTCTTGGCTAAGAAGAGGTGGATGATCAAAGAAACAAAAATTGACTTCTGATCTATGGGAGAGTCTAGCTTAAAAGTTACTCCTTCCATTTAAAAATATAAGGTATTTTTATTTAAATCTCACCTTTCAATAAAGTAATTACTTACTTTCAAATTAAACCTATCTTTTTATATTTATCCATATTAAATACTTTATCATAAATAAAGTCATTATTAATAGGGATACCTTTGAAAAAAAAACAATGATTATACCTTAAAAAATTAAAAATACTTTATATTTTTAAATATTCAATTTCTTAAAAAATATCTTATATTTTTATATAAAGGGAGTATGTTTTTGCAATTTTTAAAAATAATTTGTGCGGTCGATCTAAAAATCAATCTTAAAATCACGACAACACGGCCCCCTCCATTTTAGCTCTTCCATTTCACTTTAAAAAAGCTGAAAACTCCCTCTCACAATCCCAATTCACAACCAGCAAACTTCTTCACTCCCAAATCCCAGAATCTCTTCCTCTTCCTCTTTCTCATCTTTGTCTTCATCCTCCATGCCTATGAGCTTTCTTAGCCTTCGTCCTCATTTAATTTGCATATCTTTGCCATAATCTTTCTTCTCATCATCTTCGTCTTCTCCCATCGTCTGTCTTGTTCCTGGTGGTTTAAAGCAACCACTTATTGTCTTCGTGCTGAGCTCATTGTTGTGGTGCACTTGAAGCATCTCCCTCTTCGTAATTGAACCCTTCATAGTTTGTTTTTCGTTGCTCCATCAGGTAAAATTTTCAATGTTTAAATGATTTTTGTACATATCTCTTGATCTTGAGCTTGGGTTCATGCTTGCAGGTTGGGGGTTTACGATTTTTGTACATCTTTCATGATTTTTGGGGAATAATTGTAGTGCTGATGCTTCGTTTTTGTATATGTTTCTTGATCTTGATTGAAATGTTGTTTTATTAGTTCAAATTTACTTATGGGTTCAGCTTGATAGTTCGATTTCAGCTACAAAAGTTCTGGAAATTGGATTATTGTTTGATTTTTTAAACTTTTGTTGAGCTCGATAGTCCAATTTCAAATTGGGATTAATGGTATATGTTGGATTAGATGGTTGGCTGTTAATTTAAGTATTAATATTTGAATTTTGAAACTCAGACTAGTTATCATGAAAATGTCAGATTTAATTTTAGCTCTGATTTGAATTTTGGATGTTGTATATAGGGTTTGAATGTATCAAATATCGTTGAAATTGGTGGGCTGTGATTGGTTATGAATATATTTGAATTGAAAAATTTTGAAATGTCCAATTTTTAAGGAGAACTTTGCTGAAATTTATATAAACTTATTTGTTCTTAGGCTTTGTTTTGAGATTTTTGAATTATTTTTGCTCGATGTTTATGTTTGAGAAATGAAATTTACTTGTGAGTTGATTGTGGATATTCCTTGTAAATTGATATTTTTATACATTGTTTATTGAATAAATGTTTATTGAACAAATGCAAACCAAAGATTTGATTATGAATAGCATCAAATGTGAGGGAGACGCTGTTGACGTATATGGCAGCTTCATTAAATACGAGTGGGGGATGTTGTAATTATATATACTCTCTTAATAGAATTAATATATTACTCCCTCCATCCTAAATTATAGAATACTTTTAAAAAAAATTTTTCATCTTAAAATATAGAACACTTTGAATATATTAAGGTTTCATTAAATGTATTAATTTTAAAATTATCCTTTGTCTGTCTATAATTAATTTTCGTCTTTTCTCTTTTTAATATATTAAATTATGAGTATTTTTAAAAGTTTATATTTTTATTTTAAAAAAATAAGATTGTTAAGTGTAATTAATAAAATTTATTGGTATGTAAAATTTTATCTAAAAATATTTTATAATTTGAGATGGAGGGAGTAATAAGTATTACTCCTTCCGGATTATAATATAAGGCATCTTTTAGAAACTTTACCTAGCTTAAAAGATAAAGTATTGAATAACTTTTATATTTGTTTTTCAATTATACTTCTATTTCATTTATTACTCTTTTTGAAAAAAATGATGTATTAGAATTTTAATTACTCTTTTAAAGAATATTTAATGAGGATATAAATGAAAAAATGTAAACATTTTAAGAATTTAAGATTTTAACTAACATTATTCATAAACCGTAAATTAATTAACCATAACTTATATTGTAGTCTGGATTATATCATATTGATAATATTTTGGTTTTATAAGAGTTGATTGAAAATCAGGAATTAATTGTGAATTAATTCCTGGCTGAATTCTTTAATGGGGATCGATATATTAATGAGTAATTATATCGCAATGATGAGTAATAATATATTTTGGTTTAATGAGGGTTGGTCGAAAATCAGGAATTAATTTTGAATTAATTCTTTATTGAATTCAATTAATGAAGTTTATCTCTGCATTTGGAATATTTCATTATAACAATTTTCTTCATTATGAGCAGAATTTATGATGATTGGAATTTTCTTTTTTGTGACGACCTCCCACTCTAAATAATGAAGGTTGGCTGGAGGAGAAGACGTCAGAGTGAGTACCTCTTTTTAGTATTTGTTTTATTCTTCCTCTCAATGGTGCATTTGTTGTATACTCTAGAAATGACTCTAGTTGTCCTGCTTTAGTGTGGATTATTGAGTGGTGTTTGCAATGCCTAAATTTGGTATAAGATTCCGACCCAATCTTATTTATAATTTCAAACATTTTATCTAATATTAACTACGTTTAATGTCAAAACAATTAACAATTTCATCCTTGAAGCAATATAAAATGTATTACAACTAAATTAAACGTTTTTGTGTATTTAGCTTCTTTGAAAGTCATTACTCCTCTTGTTCCATAGTAAGTTATTTTCAACATTTTCATTGAAATTATGAAAAATATTAAATCTTATTAATTTTGTCTAAAAATTTAATAAATTTTTAACTTTATTCCTTTTAAATAAAATACTCTAGTATTTAATATCTTTCTTAATACTTAATAGGGATAAAAAGGTAAAAATGTACATAATGATTGTTGAGATACCTTATAAACAGTACCAAAACAAATACTCTCTCTGCTCTATAAATAAGATCAAAGGAGTATTTCTAATATTTTTTCCCCTTCTAGGTGCACAAATGATCTAAATATCAATTAGAAAACAATTATAACGGGAAAGGGTTACAAGATGGGTAGGAAATAAGCATTGTTAGATCAGAAAGAAAGCAATTCTCTGAATATCCTAGTTTTGTTTCTCTCTTTCACTGGCAGTCCAGTAATTTTTGACTGCAAGTAGGATTTTTTCAGGGTTAAAAGGTCCACTTTCATGATCCATAATGTGGCTTTTCCATCTCATGCCATCAGTAATAGCTTTGATTTTCACAAGAGTCTCTACCGTGTCCCTAAATATAACTATACCTTCAGGCCTCAATATTCTGTCCATTTCTAATAGTATCAGAGTAATGTCGCACCTTCACCATAACACAAAATTCTATAGTCAGAATAAGCAAAAAATGAAAATGCCTAGGCAAGTAATAAATCAACATACATAAAGGGATAGAAGCCAAGAACTACTTAGTCCAGTGGCATGAAATTTTTCCTTTGATACCAACGTCATGCCTCACATAGAGAAAATTGCATATGTAGCGTTAAAAATTTACAACCTTATTGCACCTTTTGTTTTTGGTATTTTGAACTCTCTAGACTCAATAAAAAATTTAGATTTAAAAACTTTGTAGATGATATTTTAACTTATTCCTATAAATTGAAATAAAAAATTTCTAACCCATTAGACATTATTAAAAAAATGGACTAAAGAGTTGTTCATTGTATAACAAAATCCAACCACAACAAATTAAATCATTCTTTTATGTAACGGTTTTCTTTTTATCCAAATTTAAATTATATATTAACATTCTCAACATATTTTTGGCTAAACAAAATCTCAATATATTTTTCTCAAATAAAAATATGCATAATTTTTACTTATGCTTTAATATTTTTTACCTAATATAATTATTTTTTTAAAATATAATATTATTTTTTAATTATTAATTTTTAAATTAAGTTTTTCACCTTTGATTTATGGTCCTAGCTTCGCTGCTGCCCTTAATATATGAGGGGTTCTAAGTTTAATCCCAACATGTCCCAAAAAAGAAGGGGACTAAAAACAATTAGTTAGATGGTTGAGTGATACATGTCTATGAGACCCCTTTTATGTGGGAAAAGGTTAGACAGGTTTAGGCAAAAAAAAAAAAAAAAAAAGACATAACGGGGCAGAATCCATAAATGTTGTCGCATGTGATTACCTGTCTTGATATATGCTAAATACACCATTGGCATGGATGAGATCATACGTTCTTGGATAGGTTGAGAAAGCTTCACACCAATCATGGTATGTCCCAATAAAACCTCGCTCATAAATTACTCCAAGAGTGTCCGGGTTTGAATTGGAGGGGACAACATTCATAACCCAGACTGGATAGTTTAACAAAGCAACCGCAAAACCACCAAGATAAGCATTCATGTCCATTATGTTTCTGTATCTTCCTTGGGAAAGTGGAACGATTCGCTTGTAATGTGTTACCTTGTTCTTCCACTGTTCATTATCCTCACCAAATTTCTCTGCATTAATGCCTGGAAGTGAATCAGAACTAATTCGAGGTGGGATCGCAAATGCTCGCTGTGGCCAGTTCTCTACTGCCCCACCAGCAACGTCATTAGAGTTGCTGACCTCTGGCAATGGCGTGATGCACTTTTCTAGGTCTTTATACCTGTTCAAAGAAATTAAAACAAGTGTCTGAGTTATGATGTAGGAAGATGCTCTTTATAGACAGGGATGGATCTAGAACTTAGTAGGTGGGAGGGGGCCAAAGTGAAAATAAAATAAAGAATGGGGGCTACAATCTAATGTGAACTATTTTGCAAGTGAAAAAGATAAATACCAAAGGCTGTATGATGCATGGGCAATCCCTCCTGGTCCCCATTGAATTTACCATTGTCTACAGGGTTAAAGGATAATTTTATTTTTAAATTATAAATTCATGAATGTTTGAAATTTTAAACTCATTTTTGATACAAAGTTTCATTAAGACTTTAAAAAACAGTACAAGCCAACTCTCATTGTTAGCAAAAAAATCATTAGTTAACTAGAAAATTATAAAATATAACTAAAAAATTATAAAAAAAAGTACCCAAAAAATTACAAAAAATGACTAAGATTTTTTTAATCATTTTCTATAATTTTTGAGTTTTGTTGTGAATTGTTTTTCAACTAACTTTCAAAGTTCAACATTTGTCGACATTAAAGACAATATTATATATTTTAAAAAGGTGAAGAAAAATACCATATTAAAAAGAAGCATAATATCACGAACATTTCTGAATTTATAATTTAAAGGTCAATTTATTATTTAACCCTTCTTTATACCTACTTGGAGTAATAATGTTACTTGAGTATTATATATACCAAGCCATGTCGGGATTGTCTGACTTGCATATGTGTGGTGTTTTGTAAAGCTTTCTATTTTGCACACATTCCATGTGGTTGATGGGCTTTTGCCAAATAGCTAGGTCGTCTTTCTCAATAACTTTCTTCCAACAGATACGTTTGGCAGTGTTCTCAATTGCATCTTGCTCTTGCTTGAGATCATCTTGAGTTCTTTCCCATCCTCTCCAATATTTCTTCCATCGTACAGGTGGGCCAGAGAGAATCCAATAACCACCTGGCCTAAGAACTCTATCCACTTCAATTAAGTACAAACCTTCTGCATTTAGATATAAAATCAATGATTTAATGACCATAAAATTAAGAATTAAAAGAAAATTTTACCCTGAAATTATAAGTCTGGGAGAGTCTAGAACTCTAAACTTATTTTTGCAGCAATTTTTCCTTTTGACATTTTAAAGGGTGCAATGTCACTCTTATCTTTATCAAAAGTTAACTGAAAAATTACACAAAATAACTCCAAACATTATGAATAAGTGCCATATAAAAGGATAAAATTTTTTGGTTATTTTTTATAATTTTTGATGTCTTTTTTATTTTTTTAATAGTTTTTGAGCCATTTTCTTATAATTTCTTGATCAACTAATAGTCAAAGTTAATAAGGATCATATTACACCTATTTTAAATGTTAGAAGGAAATATTATATAAAAAATAATTTTAAGGTCTTAAACACTCCACCTTCAAGACCTATAATTTAAGAACAAAATTGTCATTTAACAAATCTCTTTAATTATAACATCTACTAGAGAATAAAATCAACTATCATGCAATAACATGGCATATTCATACCATTTTTGCTCCAGGGAATGAGGCAACGAGAACAGTGGGCCATATCAAAGGCCCTAGCTGGGTATGGAAGCCTTTGGGAACCCATAATGCCAATCATAGCAGGAACACCTCTTTCTAAAGCGAATTGAACTTGAGCTTCATGTGTATCTCTAGGTGCGAAAGACATTGCAATGATGTCCCTTTTCAACAAATACGCTCCCCAACTTGCTACCTTCAAAACCATAAATTACAAAGCGTTATTAACTCCAAATAACGTAACGAGTATGGCAAAGAAGAGGCAAATTCTCAAGTAATTAAATGTTAAGAAAACCTGGCGACCTTTGAGTTCAAACTCATTTAAAGTATGAAAAAAATATTGGGCTGAGAAGCATCTTGAAAGGGTGGATAATACTGGGGTTTAACAATTCCAGGAGGACACATAAATGAAAATGACACAACATTTTAACTCAAAATCTTAAAACTTTAAATTTGTGTGTCTTTTCCACTTATATACTCCTTTTCCAACCCAACTCTATTATATGTGGGGCTTTTTCCCCATGCTAAGTGAAGTCAACTCAAACTTGACATCCCAACAATTTCTTCCTCAAGTGTGAATTCACCATTGATCATACAAAACATGCTCCCCCTTATTTGTTCACACTTTGAAAACACCAACCTATCCTTAGGTGGTCTAGCCAGTTGTGCTCTCCCCACTTCCGATATGCTTGTCAAACCCAACAAAAAGCATATAGACAAATAAGAAATCACCAAACAACATGCTTGTAACATGAGATTTCAAAGGCTTCAACTTTAGATTTCATCTTTTTTGTACAAAATAATAATATGCGGTGGTCTAACAGATTAAATCTCATGCAAACAGCATGGTAGAGATATATAGAGACAGACCAAATTAGAAGAAAATTAAATAAACTTAGTTTGATGATTATGCATTAACTTACACCACAGCCAGTGTCAATGGCAGTTCTGATTTTACCACTAGTAAGAGGAATGAGTTCATTGATGTCATCAATGTAAACATCAGCTCCATTGGGAAACATAGTACCTCCTCCAGGGAATTTGAACCTATCACCTTCAACTTGAATCCAATTCTGAATAGCCTTTTCTATGCTAAGTTCTTTATGAGGAATATTGTCATACCAAGCATAGTCTCGACTTTGAGGCCACTTGAAAGGTGTCTTGTAATTTGGTGGAGCTGGTATCAGACATAGTAACAGTTCTTCTTTCGTTGGACAATGTCGTTCCCTGTATTTTAACATGTTCCTATCAAATCTTCTTCCTCTATCTCGGTCTTGACATGGAGTATATTCACTGTATGCCATATCACATGGTGCAAAATTTTGGACCCCACTAGAATTGTTAATTTCAATTTGATGATGTGCATTAAAGTCCAAAATAGTAGATGATAAAGATGATGGAATAGCAGAAGAAGAGCTGCTTGATGAGCCTAATGGAGATGACGACCCAACATTATTATCACAACCCAGTTTTGAGTAAGACTCAGACTGGCCAATAGGTGCAATAATATTTTGTCTTGCACCAATTATGTAAGACAAAATACACAATCCACTGACACCTAAGATACAAGTGAGACGCTTTCTCTTGGATTCGAGTTGATTGTAATGCTTTGGCGATCCATTGTAATCCTTTACCATTTTATTTTAATTCTGAGATCTGAAAAAAGTTTTGAAAAAAAAAACATGTAATATTAGTTTTCACCCATGAAACTAAAATGCTACAATAGAAAGACCAAACAAAGAATTAAGGGCTTTTTGTATGCATTTCTATAATATCTTTTATAATGTCTTGCCTTCCCAAATTCATTTTTCTTTTCTCTTTAGTTCATTGGTTTCTACATGAAATAAAAGACATTTAAATATCTTAAAATCTTGAAAAGGTATATATTTTTTTACTTCTTAATTATTTTTTAAAGAAAAAATATAAACATTATATACTTTTTTTTAAACAATCATTAAAAATATGAAACTTTTACATTTCAAGACTTCAATAGTCAAAATGTCTCTTATTTTACATAAAAGCCAATGATTCAAGAAAAAAAAATGAAGTTAGAAAGGTAGGGCATTACAAATGACATTAAAGAAATGCATATAAGAAACCTCTAATTCAGAAAGTATGGCAACATTGTCTAAAAAAGGATAGGATAAGTGAAAACTCCTAAAAGCAACTTATTATTTAATTGCTACGTCAGTTTTATCTTAACATGATTCCACAATTCATTCTCAACAACCAAGAAACATTATATTGAAGTGAGGGAAGAAATGGTAATGAATTTTTTTCCCCTTGGTTTTTATTATTATTATTAGATGAAGAAGAAATGAATTGCTGAAAAACTCAATGCTATTGAAGAATTCAATCTTAAATTTGACCCAAAAAAACCTAGAAGAATGCTAAAAGATCAAAGTTCATGTGTATGAAATATTCAAGCAAATTTGTATAGGAAAAAATATAATAAATGCTTCTTTATGTTATAGTATTATTTTAATGAATTTTTTTTTGAATATTTACAAAAGTTGTAGAAAATTTATTTGATGGATAAACAAATTAAAAAGAAAGGACATAACTGAAAGCTAGACAAAGGGAAAAAGTATAAAAAAGAAGATGGAGTATTACGAGAACCCGAAAATCTTAGTAGCTCCATGCTAAAACTTCGACATCTTCGACATCTTTATATGTTTATATATATGTTGGTGGTTAATTGTTCATCTTTGATATCAATCCATGTAATTATGTAATAGAAGTGAGTAATTTAGAGAGGGGAATTTTTACACAAATAAGAAGAAAAATTCAAGGAGTAAAAGTAGATACCTTAAAACCTGAGACCGAAACGCTCAAATTGATATTCTCCTCTTTCAATGCATTCTTATTACCAAAGTAAACCAAGAATTCTTAAAATAAATGGATTGAAAATGGTTTTAACCTAATTCAAATGTTGACGATATATGATAATTCAAATGATACAGATGTGAACAACAAGCACGCGCGATGATTAATTGAACACTCTACTCATAGGAAATTGAAATGGTGAAAGTCAAATCCTTTGGTATCCTTTAAAAGTGGCATTTACCAAGCAGAAATACATGACAATAATATAATATTTTTTGTGATCAAGTATAAAAATAGGTAAAATAATGGCAATGAGGAAAGAGAGGAGTGGTTTTCTTCATTTACCTGATGAGAAAGATGGTGTTAGTTTTTATTAATGCTTAATTTTTGGATCTCTCCTTACCTTTAGTTTATCCAGAAAATAAGGAAGCTTATAGGATTTAGATTTGGTCAACAAGATGATTTATGATGGTTCTTTAGTAATGTCATTTAGAAGATTTAACAGCCTCAAGTTATTCTTCTTCTATCCTAAATTACTTTGCTTCTGTTTTTTATGGAATGGGATTTTCTCCCAATTTTAAATGGATTTAGATTTGGTGAGTAGTTTAAGTCTACTTACTTAATGAGTATTTCATGTGGCATGATAAATTGAATGGTTATAAGAGATTTTGTTATATAATACTTAGGACATACCTAATCTTGAATTTTGGAAGGGACAATATATGTCAAAAGTGCTTTGATCGTGAGAATTGTTTTAAATTTTTTAAGAAAGATGTAACTTGATAATTTTTAAGTATTGATGAAATTTAATGATTTTAATTGAGATACTCATTAAGTGAGACATTAACCACTCACTGAATCTAAATCCACTGTAAATACATCAGATTATGCGATTGCTTGGTTACACACCTCAATTCATATTTTTCTTCTCCTTTTTCTTGTTTTATTTTTTCAATATTTTCATTCACGGGATATATTTACTAGAATTTTCTTAATTTTCTTTCACTCAACTAATTATCAATTTAATTATTTTTATATCTTTAATATACTCGCAATAATTTGACAAGGTAGTTTAAATAGAATAATAGCAGTTATATATATAAGGAAGAATTTCTCTTTGGTCCCTTGGAAGAAACTTTTCAAAAATTGAGAAGCCCCTAAATAAAATGCTAAAATTTTAGTTGTGAGGAAGCCCTTGATTGAAATTGATATGTGAAGATCATTTGGCAAAATATCCATCATTAATTTGAAAACAAAATTTCCCTCTTCATTGTTGTGAGGGTTGCTATTGACTCTCATTGTACTGCCATTAAAGTCATGTAGATTTTGTTGTGTTCATGTCACCTTACATTTTTACTTCATTTCCATATTAGTTTAACTATATGGCCTATTTGATAGAGTGGAACTGGGCTTAGAGAAGTGGAAATGGTGGTGGAATTGAAAAAATAGGATGCTTGGTTGCATGATTCTAGTTCTCCAAGGAACTCAATTCCATAAAAAATGGTGGAAGTGAGTTTCATCTGTATACCTAAAGAACTCGTTTCCTCCCTCATTACTTTTCTCATTTTCCAATTTTACCCTCAAGCCTTTCTCCTTCCATATTCAACCCATACTTCTTCATCAACAATTTTTTTGATTTGCTTCTCCAATCCTTCATTAGCGATAACATGCATCCTTCAAACACCCTATTTTGTTCCTTCCCTAAGAACAAGTTCTTGAAGAAAGGGCTTACTGACCATCGACAAGCGTGACTTTGGCATCTATAAAGAAGTCATTAGATTTCAAAGGCTTCATGGATTGATGCAAGGTTGTTGGATAGGTGCCTTAGGGTCATAACATCTAAAGGAGGTAAAGCTTTAGGAGTGAAATGGGTTTCGGAGCTATTGGCAAGACAACATACTTTGCTTCCATTATTGCTAATCTCATTTGAATCAAAAATCATGATTCAAGACTCCATAAAAAAAAAAGCTAACAAGATGAGAAGAGAATGTTGGAAGGGGGAGGGAGGGAGAATGTTGATGCTTCCTTTTTATTGTTTTTTATTCCATGGATATTATGGTCATTTCAAGATAGAAATACATATATTATATAAATTTTTTTCCCATTTCTGTCCTTCTACCAAATATACTTTTAAATCTCATCTCCATTTTTATTTCCATGTTTACTTCTACTTCCACCAAAAAAACTTCCCTGTACCAAATGGGGCATTAGAGAAGTCATTCATTGAGGACTTAGAATGAGTATGAATTAATTTAGTTTGGTATTGGGGGCTTAAATTATGAGTTTGGGTAGAAAATTGGTAATGCTTGCCCGCATATATCACGTTAGTAGATTTGTCCTTTCGCAGATATATCTCAAAAAGTGATGAGGGCTTGAACTTATGTTCATGTCCAGCCATAAATGAAACATGTATTATAAGTGTCCATCCACAGATGTGGATAGGAGCATGAGATAGCCATAAGTGGCGATACTCAATGTTAGTAGGCTCTTCTAGTGCCAGAGATAGCACTAAGAGGTATTTTAAATTCGTAAAAGCCTTAAAAAATAGAAGGAAAGAAAAGGGGTTTCAAGGGAGGCTTGATTTTCTATGCTTGGGCACAAAATTTTGGCTATTTGGGAGTTATTCTAAGCTTTTTATAACACTAAGCTTGTAAGCGATCTTACTCATTCTTTTACCCATTAGGCTTTGAAACTTTTCAGATTTAGGGAGTTGGGATCTTAAGGTTCTCATGGATTTCAAATTTGGAGGATTTTCCATTGATTAAATTATTGTTTTATGACTTGGAAGGGTTAATGTATCCCAATTTTAAGTTTTAAATAGTTGGGATTTAATTGATGATTGATTTGACAATTTAAAAGTTAGGTTGGATGTTTTAAAGGTTTAAATGATTTAATATCTTTAATAATGAATAATTATGATTTGGATTATATGTTGAATCATGTATTTTGATTATTACAAAACTAAGGGAAGAGGTATTTGTTGTGTACAAATATCAAGAATCATAGATAAAGACAAAACTTCAAGAGTATGAAGAATCGAGAAAAGTTAAAGATGTTTAGGATAGTTATTTAAATTCTTTTAGATTCAATGTAAAAATTTTAAGAGCTTAATTACTTTTTGTAATCCTTTAAATGAATACATCATATGTCTCATTTATATACATTGAAACTCATCTAAGTAGATTAAAGCTTGCAAATAATGTCTTTCTTGCATGTTGAAATTCATAATAGTTGATTGCAGTGTGAGATGCAAAATCACGCGTGATTCTGCAGGTCATTCATGAGATTCTACAGGTTAGGCACACTGACTACTAAATCACGCAAGAGCCAGTAAATGATTCAAGCGTGATTCATCACTTATATTATGTGATACCTTAAGCTTTGCTTTTGTGTGTAAAATCACGTATGAGAGCCATTGTTGTCCATGCAAGTTTTAGTAACTATACTTCACTTCATTATGTCAAAGTGTTGTTTCACATGTGAGTCTGATAGTAGTCAAGTGTGATTTGTCACTTGTTGCACAATCACATTTTGCTTTGTTGAGTCTTAAATCATTTCAATTTAAGTTTAATTTGTTTACTTGTATGATCATTGATTCACAAATTCAAATCTTGCTTGTCTTAAATCATTTGGATCAATTCAAGGATAAGGGAGCAAATAAGGATACTTTATTGCTCACTTCTTACTACTAAGGGTAAGCTACTTTCTAGCTACTTTTGGTATGAGAAAATGTTTTTTATATTTACTTGTTTGCTAACATTATTATTTCTTATTAGGGGGCATTTGATAGTTATTGTGGTTAATTCTATTGCTTAAAAAATATAGTATCTTGATCCTCTTAATAGAGAACCAAGTAACATGCTAGATATAATATAACTTTTTAACAAGCAAGTTAAATTTTTTCACCTGTTATTTTTCTTGTTATTTTAATTTCCATATGTATATATACACAATCATGCAATTTCTTATATTTATTTTTTATTTCCTTCTTAGAGCTGTGGTGTTGTATAATATTGTGACCAACAAAACTATCTCTTCTAACTTAAAGGCATTGGACTCTTTTGATAAATAGGTCATAGTTAAGGTATTCTTTTAATTTGCTAAGTTTTTATTTAAGAAACCATGGCCTGTTATACCATTTTAGCTATATGTGGTTTTTTTTTACAATATTGATTGTGGTTATTACTTAATAAAATTCATGAAAGACATAATCACTTATGCCCCTACCATATTACTTGACAAGATATATATTAAATTTAATTGCATTTAAATTATAAATTATAACTAACTTTAGTTAGCTAACTAATAACTTGAATTTGTTGTGATTCTTTATATACAATACTTTAAAAATGTCTATTGCGTTCAGTATGCAACTGCACATATACAAGACATCCTTGAAGAGATGGCCCAAGTTGTGTTCAACATATAGATAGCAATAGTGATTAGGCCTAATAATTAGTTTAGGTATATATATAATTTACACATCCATTTTTTGGCCAATTTTTATGTCTTAGGCCACTTAGTTTTAGAATTTTAATTTCCAAATTAGCTAAGTTTATTGATTTTAAAAGGTTTATGGTATATGAATTTTAATATATTTGGATAGTAATTTTAATAGAAATAGTGATTGATTTGTTTCTAGTTGCTAGCTGGCTATTATTTAGTTGCTTTCTGTGTAAATTTAAAGGGGGCTACTTGAGCATCTTAAAAAAAAACCATAAATACTTGATGATTATTTCATAATAACTGTCAAGTATTGTCTTTCAGAACTTGCCAAAAGCCAAACTTGAAAGCCAATACTTGATGATTATTACCAATTAACCATCAATTAAAGGGCTTGTAATATATGGCGCCCCTTACTTGACAAGGCTAAAAAAGAGCCGTTAAGTATTAAGGTTCTTGTTATAATTCCAAGGAAAATTTATTCTTTCATCTTGACTAGAAAAGAAAAAAAAACCAACAATAACAAACACAATGGACAAGACTTTTGAAACTCAAAAAACATAGAACATAATCACTTCTAGGAAGCTTTTATGCAAAAGCTAGCCACTGGTTTGTTTTGCTACAAGTTTGCCTATAAAACTCCATGCATTCAAACTCCTTAAAAAGTCAAAGGAGTATGAAGCAAGTGAAGATTTCTTATAAGAATTGAAAATCCTTCACTATG